CAACGAACATTCTAACTTGTAAATGTCAAAAGTGTGATTGAAAAAAAACATTCAACCGCCTCTGGGAATATTAAAAACCAGTGCTCAGTAGACTGGAGAAAAAATTGTGGAATTTTTATTGAAATTCTTCACTTCGTATTTATTCATTTACTTGCACATTTACATAACGATGGCCTTATTCGGGACATCATCTTTGGAATTTGCTTTAAATGAACATTTTATCACACCTAACTTAGGGTAGGCTAGCCTTTCAGTAGGGACGTATAGTGAGCTGATGATCATCACGAATACTATCATTGCAATTTTTTTATAACGGAAGCGGCAAACGAGCAGTGGGAACACCGAGGTGTTCAACGACGCCCATGGACACACATCTATGTGAAACAGTGGTTGAGCCCGATTTAACATCTTCGGACGAATTGGCGATGTGAAGATGCATGGGAAGAGAAAATATTTTCTTTATGTGCATCCTCTCCTCCGTCGAGTAAAGGTAGGTGACGCATACGCAAGTGCGTATGTCTATGGGCACCGATAACTTCGCTATTTCAGCGATTATAGGTAACCGCTCTTTTGTTTGCCACCTTATAATATTGAAATATTGTCAAATTTCATTAATATCCGTTGAGTCGTTATGGAGATACATTCAAATAAACATCCATCCATCTAAACATTATCATTTATAATATTAGTAAGATTAAAGAATATATATTTATGCAAACTTTATTTATTTTTGCTTAAAATATTTACTTCATAATTAACTCGATACTATAGTTAAATGACATATCGTAATTTATTAATTCTCTCTGCAATGTACCGAAAATCAATAAGCATTCTATAAATAAATCGAAGTGAGGAGTGAGGAGGTGCTTTGTGATCGCGAACATAAACTATGTCACATCAAGTTACAAAAGACAGTAAAATAGATTGAAAATAAACAAAAGTTTGTTGATAATGAAAGTAAAGTCGTCCGCGACTTCGTCTGTACGAAAATAATAAAAAAAAACTTAATTAATAGCTAATTTTTCCAGACTATATCTACATCTACATATTCTACATCTATGACAGATTTTAGCTAGATCCATGAAGCCGCTCTAGAGATACCTTCTAATAAACATACATCATCATCATCATCAGCTCACTATACGTCCCCACAGAGGGGCTCGGAGCCTACCCTAAAACCAAGGGTGACTAGGCCATGGGCCGCGGACGAGAGCGAAAGCGTGCCCGTGGCCCCGTCCCGATGCGTCAGAGGGCAGTCAGGTTTTAGTCGGTATTCTGGTCACCTTCTGTGGCCGGCGAGTCCCACACTCCCTACGCCATTGCACCGCCCGGCGTAGGCGTGCGTAAATGCATTTCCTGACTATAAAAAAAAAAAAAAAAAGGGTGACTAGGCCATAGGCAACCACGCTGGCCAAGTGCGGGTTGGTTGACTTCACACATATCTTTGAACAAAAACATACATACATGCATATGTTTGCATTTATGTTACAAACTGTTGCCCGCGACTTCGTCCGCGTTGAAATAAGAAAAAATTAATATTCTATATGTTTCTCCAGTTTATGTTCTACATCTATGCCAAGATTTAGCGAAATCCTGGAGGTCGTTCCGGAGATACCTTCTAATAAACATACATACATACATCTAAACAATCGCATTTATGTTAGTAGCTGTTGCCCGCGACTCCGTCCTCGCGGAAATAAAAAAAAACTTAATTAATATTCAATATTTTTCTCCAATTTATGTTCTACATCTATGCCAAATTTTCACAACAAACATCCATTTATTTATCCATCCATCTAAATATTACCATTTATAATATTAGTAACAATAAGTTTAAGAATATTCTTCTATATATTTGAATTTTATTAACTTTTATAATGATATAATCGTTTCTATAGTTTATTCAAACTAAAGGTCACAAAGTGTTAAAGATATCTCGTTTTTCACCCAATTACTTAAGAAGGCTTTTCTTCTAAATCTGACAAGTCGTTGCTTTAATATGTTTATTTGTTTAAGTCTTATATCCCTGGCAACCCCTTTTTTATAAGGAAAAGATGGGAAGTTCATTTGATAGAGGAGGAGATTCATAGGAAGAGGAAACATTAATTATCTGCAATTATAGATGTCTATTGGAGATGTTCACTTTAGAATTCAAATGGCATCTTGCTTTGCCACCTTATAAAATGAAAAAAAATCTCGAAAATATATATGTGATACTCCTCATAATTTTACATAAGCAACATTTATACCGGGAGTATAACTCGTTGTACCCCAAAGTTATATTCGTCAGCAATAATAAATGTTTCCGGTAGAAGGTCGTAACAATAATCCGCCGGCTTACATAACAAAAGGCTTTCGCGCGGCCTCATCTCTTTCACATCTACTTAATAATAGATTAAGGGCTTTAACTCTATCTTCCTTCCCATTTAACATTCACTGAATAAGTTCACATTTTAAGGTTATCATTATCCTATATTGTTTTTACATTGATAATTAAAATTTCTATGTTATATTAGAAAATGAATTTTACAGTTTTTTACAGTCAAAATTACCTGACATTTAGTCCAGTATTGTATTGTTTGGTGAAGTGTGTTTTAAGTTACTTGAGGCAGTTTTAGTAGCTGCTAGTAGCCACCCGTGACTTCATCCGCGCTGTATTAAAAAAACTTAATTAGTAGCCTATGTGCCCTTCCAGACAATGTTTTATATCTGTGCCAAATTTAATCCAGATCCGTTCAGCCGTTCCGGAGATACCTTCAAACATCCATCCATCTAAACATTCTAATCTATCTTATATATATAATAGAAAGTCGTGTTAGTTACACTATTTATAACTCAAGAACGGCTTTAACGATATGGTTGAAAATTGGCCAGGAGGTCGCTTAGAGCCAGGAGACGGACATAGGACTATTTATTCATTTTTTTATTTCATTTTTTCGAATTTATGCCTTGAAGAGCTGCTTTTTATTTAACTTACTAATATTATAAATGCGAATGTATAGACGGATGTGATGTGGATGGATGGGTGGGCTGCACTAATTAAGTTTTTTTATATATCCACGCGGACGAAGTCGAGGGCGACAGCTAGTTTATAATATTAGAAAGATAACCGTCATTCGTTTAATTTCGTTAAATTAATTTTTTAAACGGTGTTATAAGTATTTTTTTCAGGTGAAATGGGGAACAGCTTAAACTTGACGCCTGTCATCTGTGTAGTTGTAGTATTGCACTGGTCGAGCCGAAACATTCGTGCAACCAATAAATATAGTTGTGAACTCTACCATTTTTTTTATAACAGACGGGGGCAAACGAGCAGCGTGAACACCGAGGTGTTCAACGACGCCAATGGACATCAGCAATACCAGAGGAACAGATGCATTGCCGGCCTTTAAGATGGTGATAAGCTCGCTTCTTGAAGGACCTAAGTCGTAGCGGTTTGGAAATACCGCCGAGGACAGATCATTCCATTCTATTTTTAAACCTATTGTTTTTAAAAGGTATTCATAAATAAAATCACATTTAAAATGAACAGTTATTTATGATCATAATAATGATTGTCTTAATTTTAATTATTTACAATTTAATAACAATATTATATACTTATTTACTTATATATCACAAATATATATAACTAATATTTACATTTCAAATATTTAAGGAATTAAAATAGAGCCGATACAAATATATTAAAAATGTTAGACATCAAGGCGTAAAATATTCTTTTATTTAGAATGTCATTTATACGAATTCAATTGAAACATAAAATAAATTATTTTACAATGAAAAATGTACAATTGTTGCATTTTTAAGCTCTTGCATATTTATGACAATTTTCTTTTAGGTTTCAAACATAATAAAGGTTGGATTCCACTGTAGAAATAATACAACACTGTAAATTATCTCATTAAACATTTGGATTTTGAAATTATTCGAAAGTGGAAATAAACTGTTATTTGAATTTGTGTGAATCAAATAATTCGATAGTAAAAAATATTTCTACTCAATACTAAGACATATAAAGGTACGCGTTTATTGATTCGCACCGGACACACCTGTATGATTTTACATAGCGCTGCGTCCATCCGCATAAGCAAGACAAAGCAAATCCGTTTATCTATCCGTTTAATCCGTTAGTGCAGTGCGTCCGGTGCGGGCCGATGTACGCGTATCTTAAAAGTACTATTAACGTAGACAATGTAGGTATGGATTTATCAAAATAGTCTGATAATAGCCGGAGGCCTTATATAGTCCTCTTTCCTTTCCCATCCTCTTTCTTATAAGGAAAGGATGGGAAGTGGACATTCCGGATGAGAGGATGCATGGAAAGGGAAGATATTTTCTTTCAGTGCATCCTCTCCTCCGTCGATTTAAGGTAGGCAACGCATATGCAATTGCGTATGTCTATGGGCAACGGTCACTTCGCTATTTCAGCGATTTCAGGTGGCCGCTCGTTCGTTCGCCACCTTCTGATATGAAAAAAAATAATGAAAATTACATTTAATTTTGCCGCTCTTTTGTTTCTCTTCGAAATGATTCCTTTTTATTTTTTAATTTTTATATGACATTATGTTAAATTTGTGTGTGATTTGAGCAAATATTGCAATTAACAAATTGGTTCTTGATATCAGTGAAAAAGTCGTAGCTAATTCTACTAAATATATTTATTAACTAAGCTATTCACATGAAAGTCAGATATTTTTTTTTACAATCTAATTTACATTTCTTATGTCATACATTTACATTCAAATCCATTGATTAGTGACATTAATATAAAAAAAAACAATAAAATTTTCTTAGTATGAGGTTTTGAATAAAGTTCAGAATAGGCCAAGTTTTTGTAATTGCATATATGCAATTGGTATAAAACATATTAGCGTAAAACTCGTTTTGGTCACAGTACCAAAGATAATTCCAGCAATTTTAAAACCGTTTATTCTTACCTCATACTTAAGAGTAAACTATTGATATATAAATATTAAATCGAACATTCAGTTTGTTTGTCACCGGAGAATAAGATGTATCAGAAATGAGTATAGAACGACATGAATGTACCAAGAGTTCATAGGACAAGGCGACGACGATTGCATCGCGGCTGGATTCTCTCCTGGGAACAAAGAATATGATTTATATGAATTGTTTAATAAAATTAAGCTTGTTTTGGTGGAGATATTATAAATGCGAATGTTAAAATGGATGGATGGATATTTGTTTGAATGTATCTCCAGAACAGCTGAACAGATCTCGATGAAATTAGGCATTGTAGAGCATAGCCTAGAAGAACACATAGGCTACTAATTACGAGTATTTATTTTTTTAATTTAATAAAGACGGAGTTGCGGGTGACAGCTAGTTGTTTTATAAATCTATTAAGCGTGTTTTAGTGAAGATCACAACCAACACGCTTGAGTTGGCACGTCAGGATAGAAAGTATTCTTATTCCAAATGTGCCAAATCATAAAACGTGTACTATGAGTTGGGTACACTTTTCTTTCTTAAAAGCAAAGGATGGCAAAAACTGGATTTGACAGACGAGGAGACGCGCAGTCACGTGAAAGTTAGGTAATGCATCTACAATATAAATGCCTATAGGCAACGGAAGCTTTGCTATTTTGGTTACCATTTACTTGTTTGCCTCCTTATAGTTTTAAAAAAATCACCCACAGATCGTACATTGAGTGGTATAAGAATAAGGTGATAAAATATTTTGTTAATTTATGTTAAACATCCTTTTATGTAAATAATTTTCTCTTAATAGATTAAACAGTTTTATTTCATCAGACTGAATTCATTTTCGTCTAAGCGATGGCGTAAAATCCACCGGCTATTGGGATCTCATAAATATGAAAATGCTCGCAATTCGATGTGCCGCACGTTTTGACAGTTTCATCGGGAAAAGTGGATCGAGTCGCCGAGAGTCTGAAGGAAAAAAATACGCTCCAAGACGAGACCAATTTCGATATTAAGTTTTAAAGCTCAGACGTGGATGGCGATCTCAAACACTATCCGTCTAGAATCCTGACCTACTAAAATATGCAGAAAAAACCTTATGAAACTTCGGTGAAAATGTTAGCTCACGTCATATATATGTATATATATATATATATATATATATATATATATTACTTTTATATATTATAAATATATAGTCGTGTTAGTAACACTATTTATAATTGAAGAACGGCTTTAAAAGGTGTTGTAAATTGGTGAGGAGGTAGCTTAGAGCCAGGAGACGGACATAGGATACTATTTAATCATTTTTATTTCGAATTTATGCCTTGAAGAGCTGGTTTTTATTTAACTTATCTATTTAAGTTTTTTATATATGTGTATTCGCGGACGAAGTCGCAGGCGCCAGTTAGTAAACAAATAAAACAACCAATTAGGCTACAGATCATAATAGAATTGATATATCTACAGAACTACATACGTAAATTACAGTTAGATAAAAAGTTAATTTTCAACAAAATATTTAACCTGATTAAAGACAATTTAAATTATTTGGTAATACTGCCTTCTCAATATTCACTTGATTAACCATAAAATTAAGTGGTTTCTTAACTCTTGAGTCAACGTATACGTTTAGTATTATCAGCGAAGCAAAAGATAAGTATCATGCAATAGGTAAAAGCACGCAGTAGGAGAAATCAGACGTGAAAACACCAATAGATTGATTTACATCGATCATGTTGTAATATTAAAAATGTCTATGCAACTATCGCTGTATAACTTGTTTTACTTAAATATATTGAATGTCTTACCATTAAAAATATGGACGTATATACTAGCGGGTACGGCGTTGTTGGGGACGCAGGTGTAGTTACCGGCGTGAGAGACGCTCGCAGCTGGAATTAGGAGGTCGGAGAGTCGCTGTGCTGGATCCGTGGTCACATTGATGCCACGTTCCAAGTCGTAGTTAATCATTCTACTATTGTGATACCTGAGACAAGAAGAATTGAATACAGAGATAGAGCCTTGGTTGGGGGTACCGTCAAATATTAATAAAACACGTTTTGTCAAGTATTAAAACAAAAGTTGTGTAAATTAAGAAAAAGTAAGGAACAAATGAAAATATCTTTTTTTTATGGCGAAGTGACCGTTGCCCATAGACATACGCAATTGCATATGCGTTGCCTACCTTAAATCGACGGAGGAGAGGATACACAGAAAGAACATATCTTCCCTTCCCATGCATCCTCTCATCCGGTAAGTCCACTTCCACTTCCCATCCTTTCCTTACAAAAAAAGGGTGGGAAGGGAAAGAGGACTAAATTAGACCTCCGAGACGCACACTCATCAGACGAAACGCGGAATTGCTTCCACTTGACGCCTGTCTTCGTATTGTGTGGTCGTGGTATTTCACCGGGCGAGCCGATTCGTGCGAAGATGTCAAAGCGGGCTCTACCCCTGTTAAATCTGATCTGAATCCGTAGAGAAATAATTACGAAAGTATACATGAATTGTATGAAAAAGGACATGTGTAAGAAGGGTGTGGCTAGAGAGAAAACGATTAGTATTCGTATCGGAAGAGTGGCACGACGTGCCAACCCTCAGCGGGCAAAAGGGCGAGATCATGATGACAAAATAAAATCAGATAACAATAAGAATAAGATACATATACGTATTGATAAAGAAAAGCAGGAAATATAAAAGGAAAAGGAATGATAAAAACAAATACTGCATTTACAAAATGAAATATAACTTACCAAAACACAAAAGCGGGTGCTTCAGTAGTCTGTACGACGGAACATTGCAGACGTAGAGTGGATCCCGGCTTGAGGTATTTTTCCGTGGGGCCGGATATTTGGGCGCGCGCCTCTGTGAAATATTTATTTTAGGCTGATCGCACACAGCAAATGTGACGAACGTTTACAGCATACAATTTTGCGTTGCAACGGGCTAGGTAATTTTAGGTGTTAACCACATGACGCTCGTCTGTAGTGTTACCTTATTAATGAATCTCATTCAATCAGGGACCAGGAATTATAGAGTAGGAATTAGACAGTAGTAGTAGTAGTCATCATCATCAGCTCACTATACGTCACCACTGAGGGGCTCGGAGCCTACCCTAAGTTAGTGACTAGGCCATAGTTAATCACGCTGGCCCAGTGCAGGTTGTGGTCACACATATCTTTGAATATCTTCGCAGATATGTGCAGCTTCACGATGTTTTCCTTCACCATAATAACATGTGATAAATGTACGTATGTAAATCGAAAATCGGAAAACAAATTGGTACATGGCGGGATTCGAACCCAGGACCTTCAGATTACAAGTCAAATGCTTAAACCCCTGAGTCACCGACGCCGTAGCATTGATCGTAATGGAACTATAGCGTATCTATGCAAAGTGAGCCCGTGTACAGCCGCCCTTAGGCCGTCAAATGAAAGTGGTGAATGCGCAACGTTGATGTATTACCCCGGTAACAGATGTTCATAAGAAATAATATTTCTTCTCATAAACTCCACTTTCTTGTGATAAGTAAAGACGCAACTGGTTGGGTTTTTGTTTATCCTGTTTGTAAATGAAGACGAATATGCCTTGTTTTCTTATATTTCGTTATTTGGTAGCTCGTTGACTTAAGACACATTTTTCTTTGTTTCATATAATATGAATTTATTATAATACAATTAAGTAAATATTTCGGTCCATCATTTAGTCTTACTAATATTATAAATGCGAATGTTAGGATGCATGTTTGTTAGAAGGTATCTACAGATCAGCTGAACGGATCTCCTTGAAATTTGGCATACATATAGAACATAGTCTGGAAGAACACATAGATTACTAATATTTTTTTTAATTCCGCGCAGACAGAGCTGCGGGCGACAGCTAGTATTTTAATAAAACAGAGTATGATGATAGCGCTATATGTAAATGTATATATTGGATGGTTTTCGAACTGAGAATTTTACTCTAAAATATTTTGCAAATGGTTCGATTTCAAACATCGAGTTTCGCTTAAGCTTATCTTTCCCTCGCGATAAGGTTAAACGCTTTCCAGAGTGGAAACCATTTTAGTATTCTGGCTAAAAGCTTGTAGATTTTATAATATTTTGAATATTTTATATTTGAATTGGAAATGTTAGTAATTCTAGAAATTTACATTTTTATTTGTATGTTTTATGACTAACAATGAGTTATTTCAAATGTTAGGAATGAAATCCGCAAACGAGTCAGTGTATTGACTCGACACTAGCCTTACTAAAATGTCGACGTTTATCTCACTATTCATTCTGACACTGGACTTGGTAACGAAAGCACGTCATTCGTGCCAAAGAATTGATTAATAATGTCTAAAAGTACTTAGCTCATTATGCTAAATATATCTGATTAATCTCTTAACATATTATACTTACTATTCCTATGGACATCTACTGCTTGAATAATAGTAGAAAAACATGTCATCCCTTACAAAATCTTTGAAAGTAACAAAGATAGCAATAATGTATTTGGTACAGGTATTTCAGCAATCCATTGCTTTAGTGTTGTCAAAATCTACACCATAATAAGTCGAACTGTCAACACACTGATTTAGAATTGTAATAAATATCAATTTAAAATGGTTTACCAATAACGTCGAGCCGTAGAAAGATGCTGGTCGGTGGATGTGAGGAAACTTGACACTCGTAGATACCTGCGTCACGTTTCTGCACGAATTTCACCTTGAGAGTCCAATCCTGATGAACAAAGACACTTCTTAACTTAACATAAATCATAAGACTAGCTTCAGTCTCTTGCTTTAGCTAGACATAGTTACAATGGTATAGCAGTTGTGCATTAATTACATGAACAACTGTGCCTTAATTTTTAGTCCAGCAAAGGCCAGATAACCATCAAATTAGACTCAAGCATTCTGACAAAGACAAGATGCGGAAGACGACCTGCTTGGCTGACAATGGTACAAAGACCTGGTAGGAAAAGACTTCAGAACATTATGACATGACGAAGATTCTCCAAGATATAATGCAGTCCGGTGGTGAAGACCAAGAAAGGCTGATCCCAAGTAAATGAAGGCACAGTAAACTAAATAACGTCCTAATGTTTAATTTTAGAGTCTTCTAAATACAAGCAAATTAATAGAGATCATGCCAGTAATTTTTATTACCTCTGAATGCTGCAAATGTATTGCTTGGAACCTCTGATCGGAACTGTAAGTGGTCAATCCAACTGTTAGCAGATGATAATCCTTTCTTCTTATCCAAGATACCTGTAGAGATAAAACTTTTATGAATCTATTTTACTATGTATTACGTTTGAAATGGGTTAACTTCAAAAAATCATTATCGAAAAAAAAATCTTCAACAAAAATTTATTTAATTACCGTTGAAGCACTAACCATGGGTTTCTAAGATCAAAAGCACTGTTTAAAACATATTGTTACAAACACAATGACAGGGACGACGATATGTTTTTTTTAATATTAGCAGTTTTTTTTTTAAATTTACAAATATTTCTTTTACCATTCCGATTAAGCTCTAGGCTTGTTCTAGGATATGGTTTACGACAATAGTCGAATGGCGGGATTCGAACCCCCGACCTCGTGATCGGAAATCCGTACCTTTTAACCATTAGGCTATTGACGCGTATATATAATTTTATAGAGAGACTAGCTGTCGCCCGCGACTCTGTCCGAGTTGGCCGATTCTCAGACCTACTCAATATGCTCACAAAATTTCAAGAGAATCGGTCAAGACGTTTCGGAGGAGAATGGGAACGAAAATTGTGACACGAGAATTTTATATATAAGATATTGGTCTCAGAAACCAACGGCAATTATTTTAGGTGTTATGATTCATTATTTTTTTTAGTGAATATTGGGTCAACATTTTATCTCGATAATTAGAATCGATATTGACCCAAATAAAAACCAGCAGCACAACAATGAATTGGAGTATAAATAATTATTTTTATATGGAACAAGCAGATCACTTGATCAACGTCAATTGTATAAATATAAAAAAAATTGGAGTGTCTGTTTGTGATATTGAAACAACCGATTTTTACTACATGTATATGAATACAATACCAAAATAAGATTTTTTACAAATTTTTCTGTCTGTCTGTTTGTTTTGGCTAATCTCTGAAATGGCTGGACAGATTTTGACGGGACTTTTATAAGCAGGTAGCTGATTTAATAAGGAGTAACGTAGGATAGGGATAGGGAGCGTCGGTGGCTCAGTGGTCAAGCACTTGACTTGCAATCTGCATGTCCTGGGTTCGAATCCCGCCGTGTACCAATGTGTTTTTCGATTTTCCGATTTACATATGTACATTTATCAGACGATCTTACGGTGAAGGAAAACATCATGATGCAACCTGCACATATCTGAGAAGTAATTCAAAGATATGTGTGAAGTCAACCAACCCGCACTTGGCCAGCGTGGTTGACTATGGCCTAATCACCCTTAACTTAGGGTAGTCCCCGAGCCCCTCGGTGGGGACGTATAGTGAGGTGATGATGATGATGATGAACTTAGGATACGTTTATTTTAGAAAATAAAGTAATGTTGCAATATCCAAGTACTGTCCAATACAGTATACCATGTCCACATAGTCCATGACAGTATTTCACGCGAAGTCGCGGGCACAGCTAGTTAAAACGAATATAATGCCACGTTTCGATATTTTCAATATCATTGCTTTTTTTTAGTTTTTTCTTGATTCACTGAGGATTTTTATTCTAACTGGAAAATTAGATTTCCAGTATCACATCCACTTGGTCTTTTTAGGGAAAAGAATACGCCTCAGTTGATGTGCAGATGGTGTAACTATCCATCCAATAACACGCTTCGACGACTTTTTAGGGAATATCGTTTATAAGAAAAAAATATTGCATACACAAAGTTTTGCTCTAAGAATATTTTGATATGTACATAATTCATCATCAGCTCACTATACGTCCCTATTGAGAGGCTTCCGAGCCTCAGCCCAGCCAATCCTACCCTAAGCCAGTGACTAGGTCATAGTCAACCATGCTGGCTCAGTACGGGTTGACTTCACACATATCTTTGCATTTTTTTACAGATATGTGCAGCATCACTTTTTTTCTTCACCGTAAGATCGTCGGATGTATGTATGGAAATCTTGGGAAATGAAAAACATATTGGTAGATGGCGGGATTCGAACCCAGGACCTACAGATTGCAAATTCAAGTCCTTTAACCTTTAATTCATTCATGAGAAATTAAAAATCGAGTGTCAAACATGTGCATCTAACCGTGGATTTCTGAGAACAACTCCCCGTTTAAAACATATTGTTTTTTTTTGTTTTCTCAATGATTTTGATAGTGATGACGATAGACAGAGACTTTAATCTCAGAAACGAACAGCATCGCATCAAATACTCATTAAATAATTAGTATAATAATATTTGTTTATGCAGTACTTACTATACCATCTCCAATATTCCTAATCACGCAGGGCAGAAGTGCGGTGGATCCAGTTTGTGACGTCACAATCGTATTATTTTCAGTGCCGAAATGTTTCTCTGGTGCGTTTCCATAAAACTCATCTAATGGTGGGAATGTGACCGTCAGTTCATTCTGTTCTGCTTTAATTGTTGATATTTCTGGAACTGGAGATGATGATCCTGGGAATAGTGTTATTTATTAAAACATATCCTTACTAACTATTAATCAAGGGCTTAAAGTATGATCCTGTAGGTAGAAGCAACTGTCTGTCGTACTTCACAAAGTATTGTTATCTCTATAATTTAAAGAAAATGAAAGGCACAAGATTGTTGCGGCTCTTAACTTAGGTCGAGCGGCTGCACAGTTCAAAATTTTTGGTGCAGTTGGAGCTTCTTCGGCAGCTGACGCAAGCTAGGTCGTGGACGAAAGCGCAAGGGTGCCCGTGGCCTCGCCATGTATGGGAGGAACCGGGTGGTTTAGTGAGTACGCTTCACATCCGGAAGAGATTCACACATCACTACCATGTCCCCACTGAAAAAAAGACACTGCGTAGCGCGAAGAATACCTTGGGCGGCCGAGATATTTGAAAAGACTTATACTACACTGATAACCCCCGCTAAATATTTCCCCTAAAACAAAACCCTATCAGCAAATCTTCTATTTTTTTTTCGAAACCACTTTTGTTTTAGTCTCGTCTTATCTATTTCGATGAACTTATTTCCTATAACATCAATGACTATAAAAGCTCAATAGAAATTGACTGGATATTGCTTTCTATCTTTGTTTGTGGTATTTTAAAAATTCACGAAACAAAAGTCAGTTGTGAATGAAAATTTTAAAATTTTGGAAGCATTGTTTTTGATAAGCGAATTTTTAAAGGGGTATATATTGAAATAGTAACTATAGAGTTCAAATGTCATGACAAAAATATTATTGTCTCTCTTTAGTCAAAGAGAATGAAAGAGATAATATTTATTTAACAGTGTTATTGTGATGGAGTTTTGTATCAAACAAAATATCTATTTGTTGCAATGTTCCTTATTATTTTGATATTTATTGTTAGTTGCTAGCACTTGTCGCGTTGCAAAGACATTGTTCGCTTCTATAAGCATTGTCTCTGATCAGGGAACTTGGTTGACCTGATTACCGTCTACGTTATTTTTCTCTTTCCAACAATACATCTGATGTTATTCCTAGAAAAAAATGACTATTTACTTTGTTCCCGCGAAGTTCTAGTTTGATTGTTATCTTTCTGTTAGAATCGAGATATATAAGAATTGGAATGAAAATTGTTTTTGTATTGCAGTTTATGGAAGAATTTCTTTCTAGTATTTTTATGTTTAAGATAAAACTGGGGAATTGGTATTGTAAAGATATGGTAATATCAATTGCCTTAATTGTAATTCATTTAGATAGTATAATTAAAAATAATAAAGGCAAAATGACGTTTCGCTATGTATAATTATGAAAAAAAAAACTGTATCACAAAGTCAACACTATAGTACAGACAAAGATAATGTTAAAAGTTGCTCTTTTTTTATATCATAAGGTGGCAAACGAGCGAGCGGCCACCTGAAATCGCTGAAATAGCGAAGTGACCGTTGCCCATAGACACGCAATTGCATATGCGTTGCCTACCTTTAATCGACGGAGGAGAGGAGGCACAGAAAGAAAATATTTTCCCTTCCCATGCATCCTCTCATCCGGAAAGTCCACTTCCACTTCCCATCCTTTCCTTATAAGAAAAAGGGTGGGAAGGGAAAAAGGACTAAATTAGGCCTCCGGGACGCTCAATTCTTAAATATGAACTGAGTTTTTGCATGTTGAGAAGCCTTGTTATTAAGTCGACACATCACCATCTCTTTTCCATAAGACTATAGACTAGAATATACGTGATATCCCTTTTGCATATCCTCTTTCATAGAATCCGTTCCTACTATCTATGCTCTTTCTCGTCCTTTGTAATCATTCACATTCAATATCATTAGTTTCTTGTTTATATACAGTCTCATTAGGTCTATTAACACAATAAATATCCTTATGTTATCATACCTTCACCAGCTCCAGTGACCGTGTGGATGAGAAGTACGACCACGCAGACGCATCGCTGGCCCTCCAGCGACATCGCTGGCGCCGGTTACGAGCCTAAAAACGTTACAACATTAATCAATAAAACTAATATCCTTACTCAGTGAGATAGGGGATCTATAAACCATTTAAAGCGTATGCTCATTTAACGCATATGCCTGTTTGCTTCGGTACTCCTTATGGAGACTTTCTTCAGTATGATGCTTTTTGATTAAGTAAATCTTACTAATATTATAACTGCGAAAGTTTATATAGAAATATGGATGGATGGATGCTTATTAGAAGGTATGTATATCCAAAACGGCTCAACGGATCTGGCATCTGGCACATGTGTAGAACATAGTCTGGAAGAATAGGCTACTTATTAAGTTTGTTTTTAACTCCGCGCGGACAGAGTCGCGGGCGACAACTATTGTGCCATAAATTTCATTAGTTAATCTCTTTCCGATTGATTTTATTTTAATTTACCGTTAATTTGTTATCTGTTTATTTAAAATAAAACGATTCTCACCATCTAAATCGTTGTTTGCAAAAATATCTTTCATGGTTCAATTAATTGAGTAAAATTTACAGGATCGACTATTGAGTTTCGCTTAATTTATTTTAGAAGCGACGCTAAAGGCTACGTAAATGATTGTCGATTCAGAATTTGATCTCAAAAGGGAAAGAAGGACATAATGGAACGTTTCAGCAATTATTGCGCCCCGACATTTTATTGTTTGATCCCTATCACTTAAAGAACTTTTTTTTCCGTTAAAAAACATTTTAAAAATTATACTCTTCAAATCTCTTTGTTATTTTGTATTAGGAATTCTCTTTCTTTCTATTAGAATATTCATTGAATCTTTTTTTTCTATTGTATATTTAAGCATTATGAATGAATTTGTTTTTGTCTGTTATTCCCGTATTTATTTTACAAAGAATAAAGTTAAATAATGTTTTTCATTAATTAGGAAATAAATTAATGAAAATAGTAACAAAGTCCTTATTATTTGGAGATTTATTTATTGAATAATGGCATTAATTATAGCTTTATCCGAGATTTGAACTAAGAATTAATTCTGTGAAAAAGAAAATGAAAGATTAAATTACGCTGTTTGATAAAAAGACAAGGAAGAAGAAAACTTCTTAAACAACTTAAGAAGTTGCAGCCACGGGCAGATCGATGCAGCGTGGGCAGGCCTCCCGCAAGAGGGACGCTTACCTGGTCAAGGTTGCGGGAGTGTCCTGGATACAGGTAGCACAGGACTGGTCATCGTGGCGATCGTTGGGGGAGGCCTATTCCCAGCAGTGGGCGTCTTACGACTGAGCAACAACAACTTAAGAATAATAAAATGTCTTCTAACATACCACTTTGATCCGATCAAGAGGCGATAAAAATTTAATGGTCGATAAACTTTTTTTATTATTTTATCAATCCTTGTTCTCCAAATGTCTGCGAACTTTAGGGGCTGTTTAGATCACATTATGGTGAATGCAGTAGCAATAAACATTCTATTGCTTTTAAGACAAAACAATATTCAGATTCAAATGTTCTTAAACAGGGTTCTTGTCAGACAGACGAACGGACAACAAGGTAATCCTATAAGGGTACCGTGTTTTTCCTTTCGAGGTACGGAACCCTAAAAATGTGTAGCTTTAATACTATACTATTATCCAAGCCTACTTTTCTTTAAAGGCTGGCAGTGCACCGCTTACTATAGATTGTTACAAATATTAAAAATCAAAGATGGTTGTGGAATATAATTTGGTTTCTACCGTGTACATTCTTCAACCATAAAATAAATCCTATTAATAATCTTTTTCAATAGGAGAACTTGTGTCACGAAGACACTTATGTCGGGTGTTTCCCGTTGGGCCGATCTATCTACCGATCAATGGTAAAATGGGTAAATAATTCCCATTGGACCGTTATTGCATTTAATGAACCAAATAAATTAACCAAAAAGGAAATAAATTGGGAAGTTTTAAGCATCTCATAGCGAAAGTGGAGGAGAATAGTAAGGGAAGCAGACTCTATCGCTATAGGGACAATAGCTAGGAACAGAGAGATGGACAAAGAGATAGATAGAGTCATGAGCATAAAAAAGAGAACAAAATAATTTGCATAAGGGTGCAAAATGCAAATCAAAGTGGATTGTGATGCAAATTGAATGCTGCTGCATACAGCTCATTGGGATGCTGCATTACACACAATTAATACGGCGGCGCAGTCACGGATCATAACGTTCTTGATATTACGCGTTTATAGGGTTATTACTCTGGCTTTAATTTGGGAATTCCGTCATACAACGTTTGACCTCGTTTCACATGACTCGACTGTCGAGCTCGTGGTGTTAACGTTTTAATTTAGAAGTCATTGTCTATGACACATACTGTCATGTTAAGATATAATAAATAATGAGATTAATTACATTAACGTCTATTCTCTAAGCTTCATCAGTCCTCATTCCTATGTCCCCACGCTTGCACCAGATTTTCTACAGCCAAATCGTTCCATCAATATTTCAGTGGTCACTCACTTCTTAATTGTAGTATTTCGTACAATCCATCCATCTCTTTAAATCCTTACCTGTACTTATTCACCCATATATAAACTCTCACTCACTCTCCGATCAAGCCAAAAATAGAGAAGTGTTCCTGGCCTTTAAAGAACTACGTTGTCTCCTTGGTAGATTACAATTGGTACTGGTTTGGGTTAGATGTAATTTAACATCGCTATTTATTCGTATTAAAAATTAAATGCTTATATTATGTTTGGGTAAAATTAATCTAGAGTGAATGCATTATTCGAAGGCCTTCATACAAGGCAGTAAAGTTTTATGAGTTCTCGTCTCGTAATATCGCGACTAACATGTATGGCGCGATGACGTCTGACTACTAAATAAAAATATAAAAGTAGATCGTCCGCCCCATTTACTGTTCTGATGTTTTCAGCTTTATTATTATTTTGTTTATTTCAGACAAAAATAAATATCTAATACAAGGCAAATATACAATTGGAGACTAAAAAAGTTTGTATACTAACGTATGCATAATGTCTTTAATAAAGACTTTATCATCGACCTTATTATTTGTTCCTGGAAATATTTACTTTTCTTTCCGTCTATTAAGTTCTACGTAGGTATGTATTTTGTTATATTTTGTGGGAGAAACAAATGTAAAACACAGCAAGATCAAAAAGAAATTTCTTCCTCTTAACATCTTTTATTAATATACGAAAGGTACAAATGCAAAATGACTACGATTATTTTTGAGGTACGAAATTACTTTGTATATGAATATAAGCTACTTTTATTAAACGCTTTGATCCTTTGAAACGTAATATTCCAGGATAAGACTAAAGTTTAAGGGACGTTGTTTACTGAATTGTCAATGTAAAGAATGTCTTGTAATTGCATGTATTGATGCGTGAATCGTGGGCGTTCACGTTTCGACTTGCTCTTACAATTTCGCTTTTCCGAGAAACAATTAAGTAGATTGCTTCTTACATTTATGTGTGAACTCGAAAGGAAAAACAATATGGATTCTCATCACAGTAATTGGTCTTTTCATGTTCCTTACATTGTTATATATTAACAAATGTCAATACGAATATTTTATTTAACAGACACAAATAACTTGTTAAAATATTTAAACCAGATGAATTGTGAGGAATCTTTGATACGAGGACTTTATTTACGATCCGTAGAAATAGTATTTGTTGATCCAAAATAGATTCGAAAACGAAAATTTCGGGGACCCTTTTAGTATATTTTCAGTACGGTATAGCGGGACCAATATTTATGAAGTAGGAGCAGAGAAAGCTAAAGTTAATTAACAACTCATCAAACATTAGTTGATATACGTTCACGAGGAAATAACGGGCTTGCTTGAAGTGGTATGAATATGTTATGCGGAAATATAATATCTATATAAACGAAGAAGGAATGAGAACGAATGTATGGCAAGGAGATGACTGAAAAAAGAATATAAGAAGTATTGGTAACCACACGTAAAGAGTTTGATGTTAATACTAGCTGTGCCCGCGACTTCGTCCGACTGACTGATGATGAATAATTCCATAAAAATTTCCAACCCCCTTTTAAACTAATTACAACAACTTTTTCGCGTTAAAAAGTAGTATATGTCCTTTCCCAGGATCTAGACAATCTGCGAACCACCTTTTAAATCGTTTCAGTAGATCTTGCATGAAAGAAGGACAGACAGACAAAGTTACTTTCGCATTTATAATATTAGTAAGGATTGGTTGTCGAATAAAAATATTCAAAACAAAATCACGAAAGTATAAAAGCAAGAGGCATTAGTTTTAAAAAACGAGGTTGTACATTTACGTCAACGACTGGTACGTTATTCTATTTGTGTGAAATTCAATTTACTCCAGAATGTGACTGCGACGCCACACTAAATTCTTATAACGACTCCTTTACTGCTTCGTTCGAAACGAATAAATATTGTTTTACGAATCCGGAAAGCCTGTTTGCTTAATGTCAGTCAATATGATATTTACAACGCTATTTTCTGGAATCATTCGTCTACAAGACCTTGGTAAGAATATTACAAAAACTTATATAAAAATGGCTAAACACTCACGCATATTCGTCCGGTGGCGGCACCGACTAGTTTCGAGCCCATCGGGGGCGCTTTAGGGTGAGTGGGACTGGTATTATTTCGTGGACGCGGCCCGTCGCTTACTGAAGGGTGCGATGGGCTCGAAGCTACTCGGTGCCGCCACCGAACGAACATACATACGTGATGTAGCTGTTTTTATATTAGTTTATGATAAATTCTCACGAAAGTTTGAATGAATTAAAATTAGAGAAGATTTAAAATGATTTTCAATCGAGAATCAAATTACTTCTAGATATGGTTAAAAGTTTCATATTTAGCACACTAGATGTCGCTGAGTTTATTTAAAATCGCGCTATGAACTATTCGCAGTCTTTTGTGTAAATAATTTCAATGTGAATTCTGCTTATTCCGCTAGGCTATTAGGGGTACGCCGGATGGGGATGGGGAAACGGAAGGGGGATGCGGTAACGCAGCAAATTACAGTC